TCCTGAATACTCTCATTTCTCTCTTAGCTCTTCTACCCGTCTGATTATTCCTTATTCTCCTTTTACTATGCATTTCCTGCATCTTTGTAATGCCAGTACCTTGCTCAAAGCAGATGTTTAAATGATTATTGATTTGGATCTCTAAGATCCCTTCAAGCTCTTAGCACCAGGATTCCTCTAAATGAGTAAGCAATAATTACAAAGTTAGAGAGTATAGAGAAAATACTATTACACAATCCCTTCCTTCCTGTGTCAGCTTAATTCAGACCTTTTATCTTGAAGTATCCAAATAATTGTTTCCAGTGTCCACTTCAATTTGACAGCATTTAGTTAAAACTAAATGATACTTTCATTTGTTATTGAAATTGTAACCAAGAATTATGAATACATGAGGCAGGAAGAAACAATGGGTTACTGTATAATAGCTACTGTACTGCTTGGACCTTTTTACTGGGGGAAGGGTGAAAGGTTGAGAATAGTAATTATACTGCTTTGCTACATGATAGTGGTACACCTGTATGCTTCTGTCATTGAAAGGAATGTGACCCAGAGGAGGAGAAGGGTTCTAAACTGTGAGAGGAAACTTTTTAACTCCCCTTTCCTAGTAGCCATGAAAATAACCAACCCGACAACCACCGGAGGATCTTCCTCTCTGGCCCACTCAGAGCATAAGAATTATCTTGGGGGGGGGGGGGCAGCTAGGTGGCGCAGTGGATAGAGCACTGGCCTGAAGTCAGGAGGACCTGAGTTCAAATCCGGCCTCAGACCAGACACTTGACACTTACTAGCTATGTGACCCTGGGCAAGTCACTTAACCTCAATTGCCAAAAAAAGAAAAAAAGAAAAAAAAAAGAATCACCTTGGGTCCTTTGGGATGGCAGATTGCAAGCACTCAACTGGCATCAAAGAAAGGTGCCACTCACTGTGTCTCTGACTAGACTGGAGAATTATCAGAAGGCAAAGAAAGTCTTCTTTGTATCCTTCAAAGTAACTAGCACAGTGATTGCTCAGTAATTCTAATTATTTGATTAAATGGAGCCAAAATTTGATTTCTCAATTTTCTGTTAAATCTATTTTTGGTAACCTCATAAAATGATAGCAGTCACTCTCGTATTTCTCTTGTATGGCTCACAGAGTCTACCCTAGGATTGGCCCATAGAAAAAAGTGTTTAGTAAATACTCGTTGATTGATTCAACCTGAATATAGCCTATATGAGTAGGGGAGATGTCATAAATCTATAGAAGAATGTCTTCTGCATGCCTCTGGAATTTTATTTAGGGAAAAAAATACCAATTCCTGTCCTCTGCCCCACCCAAACTGTCTACTCTCGGGCACCACGTTGTTAATATTCTTGGTTTTGAACATAGTTTCCAAACAAGTTCTCCCATGCACAGCCACATGAGAAATGTGGTGGTAAGTACACCAAACTCATTATCTTTTCCCCCTAAACTCTCCCATCCCCCAAACTTCCTGATTTCTGTCAAAAGTAAAATCATCCTTCCAGACTCCCAGATGGATAATCTTGGCATTATCCTGGATTCCCTTACTGTCCCTCACTCCATATATCCATTCAGTTATCAAATCTTGCTGTTTCTACATCTCTTGAATCTGATCCCTTCTCTCCAATCACACAGCTACTGCCTTAGTTCAGACTTTCATCACTTCTCACCTAAATTATTACAATAGCTTCCCTGCCTCAAATCTCTCACCGCTCCAGTCCATCGTACACAATGCTGCCCGAGTAATTTTCTGTAAGCACAAATCTGATCATGTGATTCCCCTTTCATCTGACTCCAGGGTCTTCCTATTGGCTTTAGGATAAAATATACAACTTTTCTTTAGCTTTTAAAGCCCTATACAACCTGGCCCCCACCCATCTTTCCAGTCTCATTGGATATTACTCTACCTCCTGCTCTCTTCATTCCATCCAAATATGCTTTCCTGATGTTCCTCACACTTGACACTATGTCTCCTGACTCCCATTTCCATGCCTTTGGATTGGCCATCCCTAATGTCCAGAATGCTTTCCTCCTTACCTGACTCATTACTCCTGACCTGCTCTCTTCCTTTAGGATACAACTCAGGTGCCTTTCCTGACATTTGCCAATAGCTAGTATCCTCTCTCTCAAATTACTTTGTATTTAACTACTTAGAATATATTTGCATTTATTAACTTTATATTTATGCTGCATACACATTTTTCAGTTTTATTGATGTGTTTAATTTTTACATTTTAAACATTTACAGATTACTCCCACTTTGTGAGCAATCTTTACAAAACAAAACAGTTAAGCAAAATTAACAATTACGGTGACCACATTCATGCAATATTTTATATCTGTAGTACCCTACCACCTCCCTATTTTTAAAAATAAACAGAAATCTATTTATTTTTTCTCCCGTCTAGCCCTCACTGCATTAAAAAAATAGAAGAAAAAAAGAAAATTCCTTGTTACAAATGTGCATACTCAAGCATAACATTCCCACAATGGCTATGTGCGTGTGTGTCATTCTGTACCACAAATCCATCATTTCTTTGTAATAGATAATATGTTTCATCATTTGTCCCTGGAATTACGAACGGTCATTGGATTTATCATAGTTCTTACAGATTTCAAAGTTGTTTTCAATGTGTTGTTGTAAAATTGTTTTCCTGTTTCTGCTCATTCTGCTCTTTATTCTACTCTTCACTTATAAAAATCTTCAAAATCATTCATTTTTATAATATTGATGTTATATAAATTGTTATTCTGTTTCTGCTTATTTCACACTTTGTTAGTTCTATGTCTTTTTAAAGTCATCTATTCCCCCGTTTCTTACAGCACAATCATATTCCATCTCATTCATATATAGCTTATTTAACTATTCCTCAATTGTTGGAAATCCTCTTAGTTTCTCATTTTTTGCCACCACAAAAAGAGCTGTTTTAAATATTTTTGTACATATAAGACCTTTTTCTCTTTTGGTCCCTTTTGGGTATAGACCTAACAATGTTATAGGTGGTAAAGGGAATGCACAGTTTAGTAACTTTTTGTGTATAATTCTAAATTGCTTTCCAGAATGGTTATACTCATTCACTGGTGCACCAACAGTGAATCAATATGCCTGTTTCCCCACAGCCCTTCCAAAATTTATTATTTTCCTTTTTTGTCAGCTTTGCCACTTGATGAGAGTGAGGCAGAATCACAGAAATGCTTTAATTTGCATGTAAATTTATTTTTATATATCCTCATTGTCTTCCTCATTAGAATGTAAGCTCATTGAAAGTAGGGGTTGCTTCATTCTTTCTACTTGTCTCCCCAGTGCCTAACACAGAGCCTGAGGCACTTAATAAATACTTATTGATTGACTGACAGATTCTGTGGCCCTGTTTCTTCATCCACATAATGATATACTAATTAATATATAATAACTTAAGTAATTTATATCTTTTATTTCATTTGATCCTTATACTAACTCTTTGAGATAGATAATGTAAATATTACTTCCAAGAGGCAGTGTAGTATAATGGAAAGAAAACTATCGTGGAGTCAGAAGAAATCTTGCTTTGAATCTCACCTCTGTCACTTGCCGGCTTTGTGACGTTGGGCAGGACGCTTAATTTCTGTGCCATAGGCTCCGCATCTGTAAAATGGGGACAGTAATAGCACCCATTTTACAAGATAATAAGGATCAAATGGGACAGTGTTTGAAAAGTACTTCACAAACCTTAAAGCACTAAATATAGGTGTTAACTATTTGCATCCCCATTTTATCTAATTAAGGATGCTGAAGTTAGTGGAGAACCAGCAGATAGCTTAGCATTGTGCAGAGTAGGTGTTTAGTAAATGTCTGTTAAGTTTGTTAACAAAGTAAGAAAAGAAAAAAAATGGAAAGTGTAATTTGTCAACCTAAAAGTAATACTACCTAGCCATCTATATAAACTGCTTTTTGTATGTACCTAATTACCACAAAGCATAGTAACTGTTAATATCATTAAAAACATATAAACACTATTTTGATTATAAATAGTTAACTTGGAATGTTCATCTTGAGTAATTTGCTGCTCATGTAGCCTGTTCATCTGCTTAAATCAGATTTGTACTAATTGGTCTCTAAAATGTTTTCCATCTCTGAAGCCTATAAAATAAATTATAGGACACAGTCATCCTTCATAAAGCATTCAAGGGATGTAGGTAGGAGGAAGGAGAAGGCCTAAGAGTAGACTTGTGAAGGATTCTGCCACACGTGCTTCTTGTGCTTATGGGAGATAATTTATTAGTGCCTTAGGTCAAATCAGAGCTTCCTCAGCTGAAAATTAAATGGAGGTTAGGGAAAGAAACTTGCAGTTTGCTTTTTAAATAATGGGTCTTGATGATTACTTACTATAAATTAGTTGTCAGTTTTGATATTCATTGTTTCTAATGGAATGGGTTAAAATAGTCACATCATCAGTTTATGTTTATTGTGCTTCTCCCCTAAAGATTGTCAGTCCAAGTGGAATACCAAGGATGCAAGGATAATTTAATAGGAAAGCAGCACAATTAATCATATAAACAACAAAAACTACACAATAATATCAGTAGACACAGAAAAAAAAACTTTTGACAGAAAGCAACACAATTTTTTGGAAAATATAGGCATAGAAGGACTCTTCTTTAATATGATTAAAAGTATATATCTAAAGTCAAGAGCTAGCATTATTTGTAATGGCAAATAACAGAAGTTTTTCCAATACAAACAGATGTAAAATAAGGCTACCCCTATTCCCACTAATGTTTTACATAGTTTTAATAATTTCTATAGGTAGCTATAGAAATAAGACAAGAAAGCAAAATTAAAAGTTTAAACATCAGGAAAAAATTATCTAAAAGAGTTAGTAAATTCATTCAATAAATCAACAAATATTTGTTAAGCACCTAGTAAGCACTGTGCTAGGGATCTAGGTTAGGATACTGTAGCATGCATTTGTATCTAATTTTCTTTACTATTGCAACTGAACTCTTCTCTCTTTTTACAGAATGAAGGGATACATGTGTTCTTCTAAATACCCTCTTCGACAGAAGATTTTCATCCTGTTTTTGACACTATGGTTGTTGTCTTTATTGAAACTTTTAAACGTGAAAAGATCCTACTTCTCTGGAAAAGGCATTTACTTAGTCGAACGATCTTTAAGCACATCATCTTACGTAAGAAACAGGTATACTTTTGTCATAGGTGAATCCAGGTATAAAATTAACTGTTCCCATATTTATGAGCAAGAGCCTGTGGAGATTGGCAAGACATTGGAGATAAGGAGGAAAGACATCATCGATTTAGATGATGAAGATGTCATAGAAATGACCAGTGATTGTAAGGTCTATCAGGCCATAAGAAGATACCACCTGAAACCTGTTTCAGTGGAAGAGCAAAAATTCCCAATAGCTTATTCTTTGGTAGTTCACAAAGATGCTATCATGGTTGAAAGGTTGATCCATGCAATATACAACAGTCACAATGTTTATTGTATCCATTATGATCAGAAATCACCTAATACTTTCAAACTAGCCATGGACAATTTAGCCAGGTGCTTTTCCAACATTTTCATTGCTTCCAAATTAGAGACAGTGGAATATGCTCACATATCCAGGCTCCAAGCTGATTTTAATTGCTTATCTGACCTGCTGAAATCCCACATTCCATGGAAGTATGTTATTAACCTGTGTGGACAAGATTTTCCTTTAAAATCGAATTTTGAATTAGTAACTGAGTTGAAGAAACTAAATGGGGCAAATATGCTAGAGTCAGTGAAGCCAAGTAACAGCAAAAAGGAAAGATTCACTTATCACCATGAACTCAAAATTGTGCCTTATGACTACATGCTAATGCCTGTAAGGACAAATATTTCCAAGGAAGCTCCACCCCATAACATTGAGATTTTTGTGGGTAGTGCTTATTTTGTTTTAAGCCGAGCCTTCGTTAACTATACTTTCAATAACCCCCTTGCTAAGGACTTTTTTGAGTGGTCTAAAGATACATACTCCCCAGATGAGCATTTCTGGGCCACCATGATCCGAGTACCAGGAATACCTGGGGAGATTTCCAGATCAGCACAAGATGTCACAGATCTACAAAGTAAAACCCGACTAGTCAAATGGAATTACCTGGAAGACCATTTCTATCCTCCCTGTACTGGCTCTCATCTCCGTAGTGTATGTATCTATGGGGCAGCTGAATTAAGATGGCTTATGAAATATGGACACTGGTTTGCCAATAAATTTGACTCCAAGGTGGACCCAGTTTTAATAAAATGTTTGGCTGAAAAGCTTGAAGAACAACAGAGAGAGTGGGTCCGTTTATCTTCAGAAAAATTATTTATGTTTGGAAGTCCCACATCTGCATCACTGTAGAGCCACCATGATAGAAATATCGTGATGAAGTGATGATTGCTTTTAATAAAGGCTCTTAACATATGATGACATATAATATCATCATAATTATATAAATGTTATTCTCCCATATTTTGAAAAATGTCTGATACAGGGGGATACAAAGAAGATTATCATAAGCTGGTGCATAGTGGTAATTTGCTTGTGTATATCACACCTTTTGCAATTCCACTGGATAGAGTTTTTGTGACTTTCAAAATATTGAGGCATCAAAGGGCAAGTCATACTAATGAGGCATATCACGCCCTTGGGAAACTTCCCATTGAATTCCTGTGTGGTATTTTTATAGTGACCCTGAGACCTTCATAGTAGTATCTAATTACTACATTTTGAGTGGTCTGAAGATACATACTAATGATTAAGTACTGCTGAAGGAAATTTGGCCAGAGCACACAGAAGGCAACAATGCATTTTGGATGGTCTTTAAGTCCAGTAATTAACATTCCATTTCTCTCTCATTTCAGTTGCCTAATTTTTTAAATAAACTTTTAAAAGAGTAGGAGGAAGGACTGTCTACTACCTCAGAAGAGCTCAAAGAAAAGTCCAACTTCCTGCCATATCATAATTTAGCGCACCTTATAGTCAGGGTGACTGAAAACACTGTTGAAATGAACATGTGTGGTGGTGAAACTCTATGGGTAAAGTTGAAGATCCAAAATGTTCCTGAGATTGTATGCCCCACATTACTTTGTGATACCATTGGACAGCACAGTTTTTTTTTATTCACAACTGTTTCTTTTAAACTTAAGTAAGGGTTAGTTAATGTTTTGAAGCATTAACCTTGGGAATCCAGGGCCAAGGTGCAGTTTTGTTAGAATAGATGCCTTCTGTGTTTTTGATATAGCTTGTGGAACTGTCATGCTGAGAGTCACTGTGAATTTTCTGCAAAAGGAGATGTGAAAAATGGCAGCTTTCTAAAGTAAATATCTAGAAAAAAATAAAGTAAATAACTAGATGATCATTTTTATTATGCCCATGGTAGTTGTTCCAGAATGTGATACCATGGAGCAATTGATTTGGCATCAGAGGACCCAGGTTCCAATCCTGGTGCTACCCCTTGCACTTCTGTATGACCTTGGGCACACCACTTCACCTTCTGGACCTCAGTTTCCTCAGATATAAAAACAGATATAAAATCCCAAATTGAGTGATTGGACTCAATGACTTTTAAGGCCCACTCCAGCTCTGAATCTGTGATTTCATGTAGATAAGTTTTAAAACTGTAGAAACTCTGTTTACCCCCTTAGTGTAACTACAAAATAAAGAAATGTTTCCCAAGTGAACAGTTAAAATACCTAAAGTTCTTACATCATACTTCAGTGACCTATGATGATACTAGTGTGGATAGTTCCCCACTGGTGGATCTTATAGCCTCTCCCAGCCAAGACTTAATGTAGTCTTCATGTGGTGGTCAATCCTCTGGAGATAAATCTCAATACTCTGGTGATAAATCTCTCTCGACTTAAATAAATCTCTCTGGACTTAAGATGACAAGCACAAAGTCTGTCCTTCAGCTATGGTCAAAGCTAAATGAGCACCTTCCAGAGTTTGTCTCCTGCTCTCATTGGCCTTTGAGAACCCAGGGTCAGTGGACAACTGACTCACTCCATTTGGTAACATCGGAGTCAAACTAGAGTCGAGGATTTGGAGTAATAGTGCTGAGAATTTCTGCTCCTTGGAACTGGTTAATGGAGTTTTCATTAAGATAAGTAATTAAGATGCAAATTATTTTTATGTAGCTGTGATAGGGAAAGGAGAAAAATGTGGGAGAGGGTAAGATGATCGAGGACAAGTTAGAGAGTCTTATCAACCTCCCCTTTCAAAGTTGCAGAATTTAGGTCAATGTTTTTGATTGTTCTTAGTTCAAAGGCTGCCTCAGTAACTACCTACAGAAGGAGTTATCTATGCCAAAAAAAAACCTAGTTGGATGATTGTAATGGAGATACTTGATTGTATTATTACATATATAGTTATTTCTGGGTTTTGTTCCATAATCATATGTGAAATGCACTTTGATTTATTTTATGGGACATGTTGCTTGCTGCTAAGTAAGATGACATCTCTCCCTCTCTTTCTCCCTTACTCCTTTCTTTTTTTTTTTCACATTCCCTTCCAAGCATTTTGACCAAATAGGGCTCATCCAAAGCCTTTGATCCTAAAAATAAGTAACCCTCTGAAATACTTAAGTGATTCTGCCAGAGGTTCTTTTTGTAATTAATTAGACTAACTTAAGTGGGCAAAGGCCTGTCTTGTTCCCAGATCCTACTGATGTCTATTGGGCAATGAGAAATAGACAGCTGTTGAGATAGAAACCAAGATGGGGGAGGTGGTGGATCACGGCAGTGGATAAAGTGCTAGTCTTGAAATCAGGACTACTTGGATTCAAATTCTGCCTCAGACCAGCTGTGTGACCTGGGCAAGACCCTTAACCTCTCTGGACCTCAGTTCCTCATCTGTAAGATGAGGGGGGAGAACTAGATGGCTTCTAAAGTCACTTCCAGTTCTAAATCTGCAATCCACAATCTAGATCAGTTTCTCTTCTCTTGAGATGAACCTGTGCATTGAGAAATTCCGTTATTGACCAATCACTTTATTGACACTTACAAATGGGAACACAGAGCCATTCATTCTAGCTCTAATTCCAATGATTCCGTGGTTTATTAAATGCAACGGACTATACTAGGCACAGGGGGAAATACAAGGATAGATGATGCCTGGTCCTACCCTTAAGAAGTTTATATAATCTTAGAAGGAAGATAATATCAACATGTCCCTTTCTCCAGTTCTTTCTACACAGTTTGTCAGATTAATCTTCCTAATTCACAGCTCTGATCATATCACTCCACTGTTCAAAAAACCTTCTTTAGCTCCCCATTGCCTACCAAGTAAAGTACAAAAATGCAGTAGCTGCACTTTCTTTTCTTATTGACCTCTTTTAGCCATTGGATAATCAGGCTGAATATGCCTTGTCTGGGAAGCTTTTACAGTGAGCTGAGTGCTGTATGGAAGACTAACAAGTACTCGCTATGTTTCAGTCTGTTCTTTCTGGCCTTTTGCAGGTTCTCTTCCGTCATGCAAACACATGGGAAAACCTGCAAATACCTTTGTTTAAGAGGCGCCCCACTCCCTTGTTCTTCAAATGATTCTTTAAAACCTGACTTCTGTTATGAAATGTTTCTGACATTGCCCTTCCAAGGATTAGGGATGTGGATCTTTTAAATTATCCTATACATAGTATTTATTGAATTTTGACTACAAGCTCTTTAAAGGTGAAAACAGGAATTTTGTGATTGTAAATGACTTATGTATGGGTATTAGATAATGTTAATAATGAAAGATGCTACTGTCTAATTTATATCATGTAAATAATACCATATTGCAAAAGCTTGATGATAAATGTCAATGTTTACTGTTTTCAATACTATGAACTGAAGTCATTTCTACATATGTGAAATGGAAAGTGTCCTCCTGCCCGTCCAAATGTGACAACAGATGTATATTTTAACACATTTCATAAAAAATAACTTATCAGGAATTTTGAAATTATGAAGTGCTCTATACATGTGAATGTACACAGTATTACAATATACCTGTTCATAGGAAGTATAACCACCGAGTGACTGGAGTTTTGTTTTGCTTTATCATTTTGACAAACTCATTTCTAAATTCTCTCCTTGTACGTTACCTTTTCAAAGAGCACATCTTTTCAATTAGATGCATTTTGAATACACTGTTAGTGCATTTTTGTATTACACCATTGCTGAATGTTAATTTTCTGATATTTTAAAATAAAATGTGTCTGAAATGAATTGAAAATTGTATTGCATGATGCTTCTGAGGCAAACCAAAGGATACGGGAGGCCGTCTCCATGGAGTCATTTTGGAGATATCTTCTAAATCCACACGCATTTGTCTAAGGTTGGTCCCTAAAAATAGAAAAATGTTGAGGTAAATAGAAACTGAGGAGAGAACATAATATATATGTTACGCTAGTGTCCCTAATGAGTTCTTTATCATTTCACTGGGCCCTAAGAACTAGAATAGAGTGACAAATTTGATATATGAAGGGAGGATGAGAAATGATAGGATTTCTGTAGCAATTCACCTGAAAAAGTCAATTCAACTTACATATACCCAAAGGATGCCATGTATACTCCAGGCATGTGTGTATGTATGTATGAATCCATGTGTGTATATATGATTTTTATTCATACCTTTCACTTTTGTATTAAATTTATTTCTAGATATGTCACTTTTGTCCCTCTTCCTCAGAAAGACATGCATTGTAATTGATTAAAAAAGAAAGGGGTGGGGGAAAGGTGGGGAAGCAGTTCAGCAAAACTAAACAACACATTGACCATCAAGAGATATTTTGAATGCAAAGCCATGTAAACAGCTGAATTCCTCAGATTCTCCTCCCCTTAATCTTTTTTGTTCCATCAATTATGCAATGAATATGTAGCTCAGACCTAATATTAGGAACTGAGAGATATAGTCTGAGAGGATGGGTGATGACTAGTTGTGAAAAGAGTATAAAGTAGCGTGGGAGTAAAGGAACTATTGGACATGAGATGTCAACACATCAAAGAGAGGTCTATGAGACCTGGTCAGACACTAAAAGAAAATCTTGGCACAAAACAGCAGAGAAGCATTATCTCTATTACCAGTGGCCTAAAGCAATTCAAATACATTAGGCTAAGAACAAACACTGGTGGAAACACAGCTTCTCAGATTCTGAAATTTTATCTTACAGAATAGCAAGAGGGATTTCATAAAGGATAGAACAGGATCTGTGTGTGACTTCTATAGCATGAGTTAAAGGAAAAACTGGGTGAACAGCTAGAATCTCAAGGGTGGGGAACTTGCTGCCTTGAGGCCACATGTGGCCCTCTAGGTCCTCAAGTGTGGCCCTTTGACTGAATCCAAACTTCACAAAACAAATCCCCTTAATAAAAAGATTTGTTCTGTAAAACTTGGACTCAATCAAAAGGACACACCCAAGGACCTAGAATGTCCCATGTGGCCTTGAGCATGCAGGTTCCCCACCCCACCCCCAACTACATGGTTGGCTAAACAGGATTTTAGGGAGTAATCAGGAGAGGGTAAAAATGGTCTTCCCTTTTTTCAGGCATTGCCTAGTATTCTGTGTGTGTGTGTGTGTGTGTGTGTGTGTGTGTGTGTGTATTTTTTTCCAATTACATGTAAAAAACAATCTCAAACATTTGGTTTTTTTTTTATTTTGAGTTCTAAATTCTCTCCCTCTTTCCTCTTCCCCCTCATTGAGAAGGCAAGCAATTTGATATAGGTTATACATGTGTAGTGATGCAAAATATTTCTATATTAGTCATGTTATGAAAGAAAACATAGACCCCTCCCAAAAGAAAACAAAAACAAGAATAATAAAGTTGTTTTTTTTTTAAATATGCATAGATTTGCATTCAGACATCAGTTTTTTCTCTGGAGGGAGACAGCATTTTTCATCATAAGTCCTTCAAAATTGTCTTGGATCATTGTATTTCTGAGAATAGCTAAGTCATTCACAGTTCATCATTGAATAATATTGCTGTTACTGTGTACAATGTTCTCCTGGTTCTGCTTATTTGACTTTGCATCAGTTCGTGTAAGTCTTTCCAGGTTTTTTTTTTCATCATTTGTTATAATAATAGTCCATCACAATCATATAACACAACTTGTTCAGCCATTCCCCAATTGATGGGCATCCTCTCAATTTTCAATTCTTTGCCACCACAAAAAGAGCTGCTATAAATATTTTTGTACATAAAGTACATATTGTACTTTTCCTTTTTTTTTTTAAATCTCTTCCAAGATACAGACCTATTGGTGCTGTTGCTGAGTCAAAGGGTATGCACAGTTTTATAGCCCTTTGGGAATAGTTCTAAATTGTTCTTCAGAATGGTTAGATCAGTTCACAACTCTACCACCAGTGCTTTAGTGTCCCAATTTTCCCACATCCCCTCCAGCATTTGTCATTTTCCTTTTCTGTTATGTTAGCCAATCTGATAGGTGTGAGGTGGTACCTCAGAGTTGTTTTAATTTGTATTGCTCTGATCAGTAGAGACTTAGAGCATCTTTTCATATGACTATAGATAGCGTTGATTTCTTTGTCCAAAAACTGTTCATGTCCTTTCACCATTTATCAATTAAGGGATGACCTGTATTCTGATAAATTTGACTCAGACCTCTATATATTTGAGAAATGAGGCCTTTATCAGAGAAACTTGCTATAAAATATTTTTCACGGGCATGATTACTATGTATTTCCCTCCATCCTATTTTTTTCTCATTTATCCTTTCTCCTTTCACCCTGTCCTTTCTCAAAATTGTTTTGTTTCTGACCACCACCTCCCCCAATCTGCCCTCCTTTTTATACTTCCTCCTTCTCTTCCACCCTCCCCTCCTACTTCATGATAGGGTAAGATAGATTTTATATCCAAGTGTGTATGTTATTCTGTCTTTGAGACAGTTCCAATGAGGGGAAGGTTCAAGTGTTGCCTGCTACCACCACTCCTCAATCTTCCCCTCTACTGTAAAAGCTCTTTCATATCTCTTTTATGTCAGATAATTTACCCCATTTTACCTCTCTCTTTCCCCTTCTCCCAGTGCATTCCTCTTTCTCACTCCTTAATTTTATTTTTTTAGGTAATCATCCAAGCATAGTCAACTCATACTTGTGCCCTCTGTCTATGTATAGTTCTAACTGCCTTAATAATGATAAAGTTACAAGCATCATCTTTTCATGTAGGAATATGAACAGTTTTACCTTATTGAATTCCTTATGATTTCTCTTTCCTGTTTACCTTTTTATGCTTCTTTTGACCCTTACATTTGGTGGAGTGAAAGCAGTGACTTGCTTGAGCTCTCCCCCAAACCCCTGCAAATACCTGTAAAAAAATGGCTCTAAACAAATTCTAACGCAGCAGAACCCACAAAAAGATAGAGTGAAACAAATTTCCAGTCCAAGACAGCCTGGATGGCTGATCAGAAAGGTATATTGTGCCAGGCAGGGAGAGGAGCACAGTGCGGCATGGGCGCACAGGCCACAGCGACCCTGGAGCAGGCCTCAGAGGACTGAATTGCAGGCAGCTGTAGTGGTTTCCAGACTTCTCAACCCATGAAAGCCAAAGACAACTTAGGTCAGTGGGAAAAGTCTGTGACTGCAGTGAGAGGTAGAAGCTAGGTTTCGGCTGCCCCTGGGGCAGTGGTTCCCTCCTGAGCTTCCAACCCACAGACTGAGGGGGAATCTAGTGGCTGATTAGAGGAGGATTGCAGGGATCTCTTTGCCAGTGCTGACACAGGAATCTCTTGCTTTGCCTGTGCTTGGATCTGGGTTACAGGTCTGAGGGGCGGTCCTGGGGCAAGGAAGAGCTCTGGCC